CACTAGATTGGCAGGTAATAATAGAGGTGTTGTGAGACTGTGGGAAGGCCACAACATTCGTCGAATCAAGGAAGGTTGTGGGTCGTATGGGGTCGGTCATGATGTAATACTACAACTGGGCGTGTAGCATTCACTTAGAGCAAAGTAAGTTACGTTGCATTAATGTAATGGTTGGTTATGATATCCATGGTTGGATCTGGAGGGTTGGTGAAGCCTTATATACAAGTAGGTTAGGGTAGCTTTTCTAGACAGACTCTTGGATAGAGACTCGTGGTACAGTCGTTTGAAAGGATGTCGGTTTTAGCAATCGGTCAGGAATCCGACACTTCATATAATTGGTAGATCATCTCAGAGCTCAAAAGAACTTGGATAGATCGAAAATGCAAATGTTGCTCAGTAGGATAATTTAGGGTCGTAAGGATTTCGTTCAGATTAGATTGTGAAGTGGACCCATATTGGCTATGAATTAGAATGGTTTTGTATGTCGGGAAGTCAGATAATGTATTGAATTCATGGTTTTGAGCTGAGTAGTGATGGGTATCCTTTATTAGTATGCGAGTTTTGCTAAGGATGGGTTAGATTATTGGAAGGCCATCGTATGTTAGGGTCGACTTTTATCAGGGTTCTTGAAGATATGGACAGATTGCATAATTTCCTTGAAATTAGCAAGGAGTGATTTCGAGGACGAAATCTAATTTAAGTGGGAGAGAGTTGTAACAGCCTGTTTCGAGTCATTTCATAATTCGGGTTTGTGACCCGAAGATCAAATATCATAAGGCATCACGCTTTGGGAAAGAGACGTTTAGACCCATTTGGATATGGGTAATGTAGATTACGTGATCCAAGAGTTCGGTTTGTGCTTTGGAGTCAAAGGGTAAAATGGGGAAAGTAGTGTTTCAGACCTCTTTTATGAATTATTGATTTTAGTTCGATGCGTTTGAAATCAAAAGTACTTAGATAGGGTTGTAGAGCTCCTCAATACCTTTCCGTAGATATAAAGATTGTCGAAATCAGAGTTGAAATGAAGAAGTTAAGACCGTTTGGTTAAGACGATTTTTGTGTTAGCCGCGTATGTTGGGTGTACGAGGAGTACAGTGGGCGTACTAGGGCATCCTTAGTACGCTGGGTGTACTAGATGTATGTTGTGCATACGCGATCTGTGCCCAAACCCTATTTTCATGGTTTGAGCCCTATTTAAACTCCTTAACTTCCACAAACCCAGTCCATTGTCAGCCTACACCTCTCCAACACCCTCTCTTGAAACCTTAACCCTAGTTTGAGCATTGTGAGCAAAAGGAAGGTGTTTTTAAGTGCGTTGGAGTGTTCTTGGTGCACCTTGGAGAAGAAGGAACTCATTGAAAAAGTGTTGGTTGCACTGGAGCTTGTAGATCCAAACATTGTTCACCTTGATCTTTCTTCTAGACGTATAAAGTTTGAATCTTGATGATGAAATCGTTAGACCTATATATTTTTGGGTGTTATGAGCTTTTGGTCACTTTAAGTGCATGAATTTTAGATCTTGAAAGTTTTTGACCTTGTTATGGATAAAATCGGAAACTTTGTCCATCTAAACATCATATTGATTCAGATATGAAGGTTGGAGACTAAGACTTAATGGATTAAGTTGAAAATGATGCACTTTTGGTCTCTTTGAGACTAAAAGACTAGCTTTTGTTTGGTGGGACCACTCTAATGGATAAAGATGAAAACTTTATCCATTGCGGAGTCATTATAAACCATAAAAATGTGACCTTGGTCCCTAGTTTTCCTCCATGCATGGTATTGGATATCTTAATGTGTTAAGAAGTTAGGGTTTTTAGATGTCGAAGACTTAATAGCCATGCAAGACCATAAAGTTGGAAACTTTATGGTTAAGGATATCATTTGAGGGTTAGAATCGGTTGACTTTTGACTTCTAGTCAAGGCATAGTACGCCCCGCGTACGTGTCGAGTACACCCACCGTACTCAACTAAGTTGACCCGGTCGACTCGGTTGACTTTTGACTTTGACCAAGTTTGACCTAAGGGAATTTTGGGCAATTTTATTTTTAGTTTGAGATTTGGGTTCCTGTTGTATAGGTGACTGATAGAGATAGCTTTTAGAGCAGTGATCGGTGCAACTATTCTTTCAAATTGGGAGGTAAGTTTTCTCAATTTATCCATAGGTCGAAAGCACCAATGTCGACCCATTACTTGTTATGTGGAATGCTAGTTGTCTCTGGGATGCTTGCATGCAAGACCAGGATCTGGCCCTGACCATTGTTTGAAAGACCAGCATCTGGCCCCTAACAATTGTATGAAAGACCAAGATCTGGCCCCTGGCAATTGTATGTAAGACCGGGATTTAACCCTCGACATTGCAAGGAAAGACCATGGGGGTAACTCATGGAACTTGTATGTATTAACGTGATTTAGCCCTCGACATTACAAGGAAAGACCATATGGGTAACCCATGACACTTGTATGTTTTGGTATGTGGTATTTTAGGGAATTCACTAAGCTTTGTGCTTACAATTTAATATTTATGGTTTTAGGTATTTTCAGTTCGAAAGGGAAGGGCCTGACGTGACTACACAACGTCCCCTTGAGTTTTCCGCAGTGGCAATTAATGATATTACTCTGATGTTTAAATAAGATATTCACTTTGATCGGTTTTGGAACAACTTGTTTGTATGATTTATTGTTTTAAAAATAAAATTTTTACCTAGGATTTTCGGGATATTGGGTAAATGCCCCCCCCCCTCTCTCAGGAATAGCATTTGGATAAATAATATTTAGAGGCACAGCTCATGACATAAAATCCATATCCGTAAATCCTTCATCATTATCATCATCTGTCAAGCTGATCATCATCTTTAGAAGAGTCACAGTGTAGTACTATTTCTTTATCATTCTTTCCTTTTTTGGCATCATCAACATTTTAACGAGACCCTAGAGGAGTGCTGAGTGGAGGAGAGGGAATTAGGGAAGGAGGATTTAAATGGAGGAAGAGGTTGAAACGGAGTGCGAGGATTGTTACCAGTAGGTGGTGGTGGCTGATCATCGTGTTGAGAGGTGGAGGGAGAATCTGTAATTTCTTTAGTGGCACCCACCATGGATAGTATGTGCTTTATGTGAGCCACATCAGCTTCAACATTGCTCAGACGTTGTCCCAGTGACTCAGTCAAGTTGACCAACCGTGTAAGCTTGGAAAGCGCCATTGATTGAAAATCAGGTAAACTTGACTCCCCTTAAAACGTAGAAGCAGCTTGAACTGGGGATGATCGAAGAGAAGTAACAACAACTTGAACTGGAGATGGTTGTGGTGAAGAAGTAATAGCATGAAGAGGAATGGTTGACTTTTAGCTAAATTCACCAAAAGGAAAACTGTAGTACTCTTTAAGATAAGAATTTTGAGAAAAAGAATGTCAAAAATGGAGTCTGTACGAAAGAGTTATGATTTAATGGATAAATTTTGTCTTTAGAAAAGTACGCATTGATGTATCCATCAGGTGTTTGATGGATAAAATTTATTGTTGTGTTTGCATGCACACATTGGATCCCAGAAAAATCCCACAACCTACAGGAAAAAGTCATAGCATCTAAGTTAACCCTGTAACTATCATAACCTCTTCTAGTCTCAAACACATGTCCCTAACTATGAATTATCAACCAAAACCTAAAGTCAATTATACAATTAGTAACAATCATTGTAATGATTAAGATAAGTGTTAGAATGCACAAAATGGCACCTCATATTCTTCCTAAAGAGATTCATTTTCCTCAACACTATTGAACAAACATTAGAATTCCATCTTTCACTTTCCTCATTAATATGAACAAACATGCCTAGGATATATATCCATATTTCTTCAAGCATGGTGATTAAACGCTTTTTCCTAGCATCCAATATAATTGAGTTAAAGCAATTTGAGATCACATTCTAAACTGCTTTACACGCATAACCTAATAAAAAAAAGGCTTTACACCATGTTTTTGTTTTTTTGACATCAAATATTAATATGTAGAAGGACTTACACTCAAAATGTTTTCTAAATGCTTCTTGAAGTCACCTTCCACATAACTCATAGAGGCAGTCGAAAACAACTTCTTTTACTCCAACCCTAGCTGTGAAAGCCTTCCTAAAATTGGCATAAATGTGTCTAGCACATTGTTTGTGCTCAACATGAGGCAGTTTATCATTTACTGATTCCAGTAGACCGTACAAGACACATATAAGATTATTAAGCATATAAATCGAGCAAAAGTGTGTACACTTATACCTTTTGTTGATCTGATATCACTACCAAACCTCTTCCACCATCAAACTCTAAATCATCCCTTAGAAGCTCAAGAAACCAAGTCCAATTAGTCTTATTCTCAACATCCACAACAACCCAGGCAATTAGGTAGACATGATTATTGGCATCTGTACCTTTGGCTCTTAACAACTCATCCTTTACTGCTCCCTTCAGAAAGCACCCATCCAAACCAATGACTGTTTTGCACCCTATTTTCCATCCTTCACTTGTAGCTTTGAAACCAATGTAAAACCTGTGATTTATTTCCATTTGGATTGATAGTTACACACACTTTACATGTAGAGAGTGGATTGGATCTTAACAACTCTTGTGCACAATCCCATATTCTTGCATAATGATCAGTCAATTTACCTTCAATTATCTCATAGGCCCATTTCTTTTCCCTACGACATTGGCTTATAAACACAACACACCTAGACCTTTGTTTGAGGTCAGTAATCATCTCTTTAAGCTTTACCTTTGGTTTATTTACAAATGTCATTTATGTAGTGTATTCAGGAGTAGTCATTGAGCCAAATCTAAGCTTCCTACCACAAACATGAGTAGCTTCTAAACTCTTGATCTGAAAAGATCTTTCATTGAACATCCACGGGGCTTATAGTCTAAAAGGGCAAACATTGTTCTCATTCCTCTTCCCACATCTTGAAACTATGTTGTTACTATCACACTTTTCAAAGTAAAGTTGATACCTTTTGTAGACTACATAGTTTTGGATAAAAAAAACTTTAGTTGTGTAACAGGCTCAAAAATGTCACCAAGCTTTAGTTCCATGTTATCCCATCTTGTGTTTGGATCATATATTATGTACTTGTTTTTCACCTGCTCTTGCTCTTCTTCATCACTTTGCCAATCATTCACATGATACACTTGTGCTCTTACTTCATCAGCCATACTAAAGTTTCTAAGATTTTCATCAATTAGCACATTAAGAATAAGAAATACGTCCTTACATTTCTCCTTTGAAGTAACGAACTCTTGCTCTAGTTCATGGTCCGTGTAGATTCCATGAAACTTAAAATTCATCTCATTAAGACCAGAGAAAGGCTCTGTAAACCAACAAATGGGTATGTGTAGCCTTCGTCTCTTGAATCCAAATCCATCACAACAACTTGAAAAAACCACAGACCTCTCAAGAACAAAAAAGATAAACCACATTTACTGATGAACTGCAAATTAGCCTGTGAAATCGACTCTCTGATAACCTTAAACTACACATTTCAGAACACTTTTACCATAAAATTGAACCCTAATCTTCAAAAACCCCTTAAATTGAGATGATGTTGTCAATTTCCAAGCGTTTCTAAGTGTATGTATACGTTCAGGCCCGGTTTTGAAGGGGGGCATAAGGGGCAGCCGCACAGGGCTCCGGAAAAAATAGGGTTTGAGTTTTAATTAAATTATATATTTAATAACTAAATATATATGAATTTAGCCAAGATATTACACAAACTTTGTGTAGCCCAGTTGGCAAAGGCGTCTCCTTTATTCAAAAGCAACGTGTGTCGTCACTTTTGGATGTTTTAAATTTAAGGTACAAATTTGGCCATTTCTTTATGCCATATATTTTTATAATCAACCCCTCCTTCCAATATGTTTAACAAATCAGTTTTCAAAAGTTACATAATTAGCCCTTGAACTTTTTATAAAATTTCATATGTTCCTTTTTAATTAATTAATTTACTTTTAAGTTTTCCTTAACGATAATTCACCGTCTTAAATTTGTTTTCCCTTATATATATATATATATATTATATATATATATATATATATATATATATATATATATATATATATATATATATATATATTAAAAAATGGTATTTAGGTCCCCATTTTTCTTCTTAGCACCGGGTCCTTAAAATCAACGATCCGGCCTTGTATACGTTTATGTGCAAAAGGTGATGGTAGAGTGATATGTTTACTTCTCCTATAAGCGGGGATATGTTTGCTTCTCCTATAAGCAGACGTAACGTTCATTAACATTGTTTGCCAACTTATTCATAAAAGGCCACGTAGTTATGGGTAACCGGTTATCACTTGTTTACATGTTCAAACCCAATAAACGAACCAAATATTGAAAATGCCAGATTTTATTAACCCCAAAACACGTTCAAAGATAAAACCAATATTTTTTTGGAAAACCAACATTTATGCCATTTGCCCATAAAAAAGGAAATCATATTCACAAACCAAGAGATTTTTGCTGGTAGTTTTACTGTATAGTTAATTTACTAATCCAAAACTAAAATAAGAATTTACCATTAACAGATTTCACTCTTACGCTGATATAAAAAAAGATTACGTAATCTTTATAATCAAGACTTTTCTTTCCTTTATTAAATTTGGAACATAATGTTAACATAGTTTTTACACTTATTTACTGTATATCTAATTTAGGGGCTGGTGGATATTAAACTGAATTCCCAATCGTTCGATATTTTACCCTGGCTCGTGAGACTGTAAGATGGGTAAGTTTCTACTTCATAAAACTTCATCTTTTTATTTCTTTGAAAGTCGTTTGGGAAAGAGATTTTGTTTCAGTTATGTTGTTTAGGGTTTCTTTTCTTCATTCCAGTTGAAAACATAAACTTTGTTTTTGGGTAGTCATTATCAATCATTATATCCACCGGAAAACAGAAATCGGGAAACCGATTTCCAGAAGAATTATTATATGCGTTTAAAGATAATTGAATAGTAGCTAATTATGTAAGGTAGTACGAAGGGTAAAATCTAGTTTTTGCAAGTAGAATGTATATTATGTAGTTATGTAAGTTGTTTTAAGTTGGGTTTTACCAGTGGAAGCCATTGATGCAAGTAGAAGCTTGAGGATAGACCAAAATTGAACCCAAAAGAAATTGTATCCTGGTAAAAAAAAAAAATTAAAAAAAAAATAAAGAGGTGAACCTCCTTTAACTGTTTTCAATGACCCATTAGTAAAGGCCCTCCATTCTTCAACCTCATACGACAAGTTTCTAACTTTGCTTTTGGATATCTGATATTGCTCTTATAATTATGGAATAACCTTATAGCAGCCGAATTCAAGTCGTTTTCTCCTTAGATTTTCCCTTTGATATTCCATGGCCCTTCTTTAAGCCATTATGTTGTTGAAATCACTTGGATTATTATCTATTTGTGTTACAGTATTTAATATGTGAGTCAAATTTCCTAAAAAATGCTTACAACCGTTAAATCATAAGGATTGCAGATAAAAAATTTCTTTATCATGAGTTTATGTTACGACGCCCAAAACCTCCGTTAATTAATAAGAGTATTAGTCTATTAGAAATGTGAAGATGTTCAGTGTTAACTGTTTCCTTCCCTTTCTTTGAAATAACTTAGTCCTTTTTTTCTTCTTCTATGAATCTGATGATAGAGAGTAATGGGAGGGTTGTCAGTTGTGTTGGAGAAGATAGAATCAGTAACCTGCCAGAACACTTAATAGATTCAATCATAGAACGGATCCCAGTTCAAGACACTGTAAGGACAAGCATTATATCAAAAAGTTGGAGGTACAGATGGACCAAATTGAAGGCTGTGGTTTTTGATAAACATTTCTCCAATAAATTTGCAAAAAATGGAGCTTTTGGTCGTAATGGGTTTGTCAGGATCATCAACCAAGTCTTGTTCCTTCACAAGGGTCCTATCTTGAAATTTCATCTCAACATACCAAACATGGTTCTTGATAGCTTCCTGGAAGTTGATCAATGGATGTCATTCTTATCTAGACAGGGTGTTACTGAACTCGTCCTTACTAATTTAAATCAACATTATGAGCATCCTTCTTATCTGTTCTGTTTTCTAAAATTGAGAAAGTTGGAACTGCAAAATGTTGAGTGTGAATCCACGTCAAAGTGGTCCACATAAAAGTTAGTCAAAAAAGAAAAAGGAATGGTCACCCGGTTCTTAAGGACCATGTTTTGTGATTTTCTTTTTCTCCATTCAATCTTATTTAAGATTGTATTCTATCTGTAGTTTGAAGATAACACACAAAAAAGAAGAAGAAATAAAAACTCCTAGTTACCATTGTGTGTGGATGTAGGTCATCAGACTGAACCACCTTAAATCCTTGTGTTCTTGTTTTTCTATAATTCGTGAGCTGAGAGTGAGAGTTTCGTGTTCGTGTCTCGATCCTAACAAGTGGTATCAGAGCGTTGGTTTAGCTCCAGAAGGTGATTTTCAGTTTTTTGGTCGAAATTTGTTTTCGTCAAAAACGATTTTGGTGTATACCGTTGGAAAGGTCTCGTTCTGAAGATTCCGAAAATATTTTTTTCTGAATTTTTCGACCACCGGAAGACGTCCAAATCGCCGGTCAAATGTTCGCCGGAATAGTGACCGGGAAAACCAGTTTGCCGGAGAAGACGACACTGTAGTGCCGGAGCCTTGCCGGAGAAGACGACACTGTACGCCGGAGACCTGCCGGATAAGACGACACTGTAACGACACTGTAGCATCACTGTAGCGACACTGTAGCGTCACTGTAGCAGAATTTGAAAAACTCAGATTTGGTCCCTAAAGTTCTAGAAAATTGCAAAACAGGTCCCTGTTCTTTCAGAAAATTGCAAAAATGGCAGAAGATGGTAAAATCAAGATTGACAAGTTTGATGGAACCGATTATGGATTTTGGAAGATGCAAATTGAAGATTTGTTGTATCAGAAAAGTTTGCATTTGCCTATGTTGGGCGTACAACCGGATGACATGTATGATGAAGAATGGAAGTTGTTGGATCGACAAGCCTTGGGTGTAGTTGGGCTTTCATTGGCAAAGAGTGTTGCGTATAACATTGTTAATGAAACAACTACTTATGGAGTATTTAAGGCTTTGTCCAACATGTACGAGAAGCCGTCCGCTTCCAACAAAGTGTTCCTCATCAAACAATTGGTTAACACCAAAATGAAGGAAGGCATGTCAGTTACTGCTCACATAAACGAGTTTAACTCGATTATCTCTCGTTTAGCCTCAGTTGCAATAAAGTTTGAAGATGAAGTACAAGCGCTCCTCCTTTTATCATCTTTACCCGATAGTTGGTCAGGCACAGTCACAGTTGTTAGTAGTGCATCCGGCACTATCAAACTCACTTTCGAGAGTATTCGTGACTTGATTGTAAATGAAGATATCAGACGGAGAAGCAATGGTGAGACTTCTAATTCTAGTTCTCTATTGCATACAGAAAGTAGAGGAAGAAGAAACGAAAGAGGACATAGTCGAGGCAGGTCAAAGTCCAGAAAAAGGGGGCAGTCCAAGAACCGAAAAGATATTGAATGTTGGAATTGCAAAGAAAAGGGTCACTTTAGAAACCAATGTCCAAAACCACAAGCTGTAAAGAAAGAAGTACACAATATATCCTCTGAAGAATCGGGAGATTGTCTCATATGTTGTGTTGAGAATTCAATGGAATCCTGGATTATGGATTCGGGTGCTTCTTTCCATGTTGTCTCATGCCCAGATATTGTCAAGAACCTACAGACAGGTGACTTTGGCAAAGTTAGTTTGGCCAATGATCAAGTGCTTGATATTATGGGTATAGGATACGTAGATTTAAAGACCTCCATGGGAACCACCTGGACATTGAAAGATGTCAGGGTTATCCCAAACTTAAGGAGAAAGTTGATTTCAGTTGGTAAGTTGGATGATGAAGGACTTGATGTTCACTTTGGGGGTGGACAATGGAAAGCGATCAAAGGCAACTTGGTGATTGCCAAAGGAAAGAAGAAAGGCACTCTATACATGGTAGAGATACCTGGTGATGGTGTTCTTGCCGTAACCACCAATCCGAGTCCATCTAATTTATGGCACCAACGACTCGGACACATGAGCGATAAGGGATTGAAGATGTTGGCTCAGAAAGGAAAGTTTCCAGACTTGAAGAAAGTCGAAACTGAATTTTGTGAATCTTGTGTTCTCGGGAAACAAAAGCGGGTTACTTTTGTAAAAACAGGGAAGACACCGAAAGCTCAGAAGTTGGAGCTTGTTCACTCGGATGTATTTGGACCAACACCAGTTTCATCTCTAGGAGGCAAAAACTACTATGTAACCTTTATCGATGATTCAACACGCAAGGTATGGGTCTATTTTCTTAAAAATAAATATGATGTATTTGATACTTTTAAGATATGGAAATCTGCTATTGAAAATGAAACTGATTTGAAGGTAAAATGCCTGAAGTCGGATAATGGTGGTGAATACATAAGCAAGGAGTTTGTTGACTATTGTGCCAAGCAAGGGATAAATATGATCAAGACGGTCCCAGGAACCCCTCAGCAGAATGGTGTAGCTGAAAGAATGAATAGAACTTTGAATGAAAGGGCTAGAAGCATGAGGTTGAATTCTGGTTTACCTAAGACATTTTGGGCTGATGCAGTTAACACTGCAGCCTACTTGATCAACCGTTCACCGTGTGTTCCCTTGGATTTTAAATTACCAGAAGAAATGTGGCAAGGGAAGGAAGTAAGTCTCAAACACCTGAAAGTTTTTGGTTGTACTGATTACAGTTTGTTAAAAGATGGTGACAGAGACAAACTTGATTCAAAGACCAAGAAGTGTACATTCATTGGTTATGGGTCAGACGAAATAGGTTACAGGCTTTGGGATAGTGAAAACAGAAAGTTAATCCGAAGCAAGAACGTCACCTTTAACGAAACTGAGTTATACAAAGACAGAAACAACAAAAGTCCAGAAATTCAGAAGGAGTATGTTGAGTTTGAAGATGATGAAAAAAAGAAAGAAGCTTCAGTCGAAATCCCTGAATCTGGGGATGACTCAACTGACAGTGGGAGCTCAGGGGATAATTCCAGTAATGATTCTGAAGATGATGAAACCAGTCCTCTAACTCCAGAGTCCCCAGTCACACCTCAAGTTCAACTAAGAAGATCTTCCAGAGTCACCAGACCACCAAAAAGATACTCACCATCTGTTAACTACATTCTCCTAACAGAAAATGGTGAACCCCAGTGTTACTCTGAAGCTATAGGGTTGAAAGATTCATTGCAGTGTGAGCTAGCAATGAAAGATGAAATGAAGTCGCTTGAGAAGAACAACACCTGGCACTTAACAAAACTTCTAGTTGGGAAGAAGGCTCTTCAAAATAAATGGGTTTTCAGGGTCAAAGATGAACATGATGGTACCAAACGGTACAAAGCAAGATTAGTAGTCAAGGGTTTTCAACAGAAAGAGGGAATCGATTTCAATGAAATATTCTCTCCAGTAGTAAAGATGACCACTATCAGACTTGTTCTCAATATTGTAGTAGCAGAAGGTTTGCATCTAGAGCAGCTAGATGTCAAAACAGCTTTTCTACACGGTGACCTAGAAAAAGACATTTACATGACACAACCAGAGGGTTTCCAAGTTAAAGGCAAAGGAAACTTGGTGTGTAAATTGAAGAAGAGTTTGTATGGTATGAAACAAGCACCCAGACAATGGTATTTGAAGTTTGATAACTTCATGAGAAGAGTTGGTTACAAGAGATGTGACAATGATCATTGTTGTTACATCAAGAAGTTTAAGGGTTCTTATATCATTCTACTACTCTATGTAGATGATATGTTGATTGCCGGTTCAGACATGTCAGAGATCAAGAAGTTAAAGAAACAAATGTCTGAAGAATTCGAGATGAAAGACTTGGGAGCTGCAAACCAAATACTCGGGATGAGTATTTCCAGAAACAAAGAAGATGGCTCTTTGACACTCTCTCAAGAGAAGTACATTGAGAAAGTGTTAGAGAAATTCAGCCTTAAAGATGCCAAGATCAGAAGCACCCTTTGGGAAGTCACTTTAAGCTTTCTAAAGTTCAGTCACCCAAATCAAATGAAGACAAGAAAGAAATGGCTAAAGTTCCGTATGCATCTGCTGTTGGTAGCCTCATGTATGCAATGGTATGCACAAGACCAGATATCGCTCATGCAGTGGGAGTTATTAGTCGGTTTATGTCTAATCCGGGGAGAGAACATTGGGAAGCAGTTAAATGGTTGCTAAGATATTTGAAGGGGACTTCAAAGATGACATTGCATTTCAAGGGAAAAGATGTCATTCTGAGGGGTTATGCAGATGCAGACCTTGGTGGTTGTAAAGAGTCATACAAAAGCACCACAGGGTATGTCTTTACAGTGGGAGGCACTGCGGTAAGTTGGATGTCCAAACTACAGAAAAGTGTTGCCCTTTCAACCACGGAAGCAGAGTATATGGCAGTTGCTGAAGCAAGCAAAGAGCTTATATGGTTGAAGAATTTTCTCAACGAACTTGGCAAAGAACAAGATGATTGTGCATTATTTTGTGACAATCAAAGTGCAATTCATCTTGCAAAGAATCCCGTCTTCCATTCGAAGACAAAGCACATACAGCTGAGATATCACTTCATCAGAGAAAGAATTAATGATGGCACTCTGAAGTTGAATAAGATCAAAGGAACTGAAAATCCAGCTGATATGTTGACTAAGGTTGTCACCTTAGAGAAGTTGAAGCTTTGCATAGCTTCAACTGGCCTTCAGGATAATTGAAGAGAAGTACGGGTAAATAGGATGGAGTCAAGATCAAAAGTGTTTTACCGAAATAAGGATGCACAGTTGAAGCACAGGTGAAGATTATTCTGTGGCTTCAAGTGGGAGATTGTTGAGTGTGAATCCACGTCAAAGTGGTCCACATAAAAGTTAGTCAAAAAAGAAAAAGGAATGGTCACCCGGTTCTTAAGGACCATGTTTTGTGATTTTCTTTTTCTCCATTCAATCTTATTTAAGATTGTATTCTATCTGTAGTTTTAAGATAACACACAAAAAAGAAGAAGAAATAAAAACTCCTAGTTACCATTGTGTGTGGATGTAGGTCATCAGACTGAACCACCTTAAATCCTTGTGTTCTTGTTTTTCTATAATTCGTGAGCTGAGAGTGAGAGTTTCGTGTTCGTGTCTCGATCCTAACACAAAACTGTTTCTATAAGCCACTTGAGTTTGAAGGATTTCTCAATCTTGAAGAACTTTTTCTTAAGGATATTGATTTTGGGGCTAGCTTGTGTGGAACTAAGGTCAACCTACCACAGCTTAAGAAGTTGTCCCTGTATTGTTGCACAAATGTTTACAATTTCAATATTAAGGCTACAAAACTGCAGTATTTGGAAGTCCTAACTTGCCCTGATGCCATGTTGATCCAATTATTAGACAGTCCATGCCTTTTTGAGGTTGTGATTGTTTTGCAGAACCGCATACAAGATTATGAACAAGCTGAAAAAACTAATTTGGCCACAATTTTTAGTAACTTGCCCACAGTTAGAACCTTTGGTATCGACAGTTATTTTGTTAAGGTAAACTTTTTATGCTCTTCCTCAATTGAATTTTGCTCAGAGGGGTATGTAATTCTCATGTTTATCGGATAATTTAAAATCTAACTTTCATTTCACAGTTTTTGGCTGCAGAAATGATTCCTAAATTGCTTCCACATCCGATTAGTAGTTTAAAATGTCTCTGGTTGCTGTTTTTTCAACTTGGTGATTTGGATCTACTTCATGCTGCTCTTTGTTTGCTTCGAAACTCACCCAATCTGGAAAGTCTGCATATGTATATGCTGGACATGCAGGTGGTAAAGTAGCAAGTGCTAAAATTATATAATTATTTTGCTTACATGATACAAGAGTTCGGAGCTAAACTGCTGTTGCATTTTGGTGTTGTTTCAGGATCCCCGAGTAGATGTGGGACCTGCTTCAAATCATTTGGAATCCCCAAACTGCTTGGATTGTACATTGGATCAGTTGCAAACTGTTGAGATAACATATTTAGAAGGATCAAAACCAAAACTGCTTTTTATAAAGCTTCTTCTTGCTCATTCCCCTTCTCTCGAGAAGCTTACCATCACAACAAGTGGAGATCTTGATGCTAAAAAAATACTTGCCATCTCTAAGGATGTTATGCGCTTCCCTTGAGCATCACCAAAAGCAGAAGTGGTCTACTTGAACTCGGAGACATAATTTTGTAAGAATGTTTAACTACATTGCAATTTAGCTCTATAATTCTGTATTGATAAGGGTACTTAAGTTCTCTTCTATTTCTTTCTATTCCCCTTGTCTTTTTTCCCAAGGGGTGATTTTGATGACAATGGCAAGTTTGCTGGATTATTTTGCTTTATACTTTCGTCTTTATAAGTATGAACCTACTCGTACTTGAATTTTGCTTCTCTTTGGTGTGTGTTGATACTTGTAAATAGTTAAAGAAGAGATTGATGATTTCGGATTTTGAATGAAAGGTAAGGTTTACAATTTATAAGCTCCCAGTAAAAGTTGACTAAGAGGTTTTTCGTTTGGTTATTGACAAAATATGGATTCTATGTGAAAAGCAATGGGTATCAACTATTCTGATTGTTTAATGATACTCGATTACATCGGAAAATAGTTATCATCATCCTTAAAACTCCTATAAGTTGAAAAATTAATGTCAAACACCGTTTACTTCCTCATGCTTGTTGTCATGATATATAACATCGAGTCTCATCTTATAACCGAGTAGATTTTCTAATGTATAGTGTCTTGATAAGAAAAAATTAAACGTATAATATTAAATAATTGTATAGATCTTCTTTTTTAAAACACAATACTATAATGAAATGAAAATACTTAGCTGTAATAAATAATGAAAGTAATTTGTTCCTTCTTGAATATAACCCTAATTTCAAATCTTAATCTAACATTCTCACTTTGTAGATTTTGAATGGATAATAAAAAAAAAGCCTCCTTTTACGGTTAAAGTGTGGTTGCTAAATGTTCTAATATGACTGTTTTTATCCACATCATTATACTTGTCACGAAGACTATAAAGATTGCATAGCCACGTGGTAATGGTATTTAAAAACAATGCTAAAAGTTTATTATCCACACACACGAAGACTATATATATATACACAAACACACACACACACACAGAGAGAGGGTTCAATTAAGAAAAAAAAGTTGAGTATGAGGGAACGAATCTCAGTCACTCATTTTGAATTTGCCGTTTAAACATTTCAGTGTACCGGACGGACAAAAAACATGTCATATTTATATATAAATACGTATACGGATATTAATATTCACATATGTATAACTATATTCATATATGAATACAAAATATGTATATTCATAAGTATAACAGAAGTGGTTATTCACATATGAATATGGCGGCGGTGAGTGGTCAGTATAGTTTGATGTTTAATACCTTTAACCCCTCATTTATTAATCATATTGAATTTTGCCCCTTAATTATATTTTAGTTTTAAATATTTGTTATATATATACTAATTAATTATTTCTATTAAATATTTAATAACAATTCATTTATAAAATGTAAGTTTTATATCAATTATATAGCATTTTGAATAATTTTTTTATTTTTATAACTATGGCATATTATTTTTTTTCGTATTTTATGTATATAAAACAAAAACCTAACATAGTTATATTTATATTTTTGTTTATTTGTGACATTTAATATATAATATATGTTTAAAAATCGACTAATTAAATGAGGGAGTTTAAAAAACGTTTTAGATAGATAAGGATAGACTAGTTAAAATTTTCAAAAAAACTATTGGGAATGGGTTAACCATTAGAGATGTTATTTATTTAGAGGTTAAAGTTAGTGGAATGATTAGTTGGCAATTTTTTTAGGTCATAGCATAGGTTAAGCATTGGAGATGCTCTTATATTTATATTCGTATATGAATATTACTCATCATCCGTTGGCTCTGTACGTCAGAGCTTTTTGCGGCAAAAATAAATGATTGACTGAGAATGATTCCATCATTTTCAAATTTTTTTATTTTCTCAATTGAACTTATATATATATATATATATATATATATATATATATATTATATATATATATATATATATATTATCTATATATATTGTGTGGAAGGACTTATCAACAGTAAACTTACTTCACACTTTGGCCACAACTCTTTGTGATATTGGCAGTTTTGGCCACTTCTCATAAATTAAAAACTTTTGGTGTTTAGACTTATTACTTACAGAATTCCACCGCCTCTAAGCTCCAAGGATTTTAGTCCAGCTACGTAACACTTGGCACTCTTCTTCAACACCACCGTTTCAAACCCTTATCCCACCTTTCACCTACAATGTTCTCCATCTTTTACAGCTTAAAACACTCCCCTGATTCTCTTCTCTTTCTTTTGAAAGAAATTGAGACATAGAGGACATAGATAGAGCCCATAGGCATTCTCGATTCCTCTTTTCCATCTTCTTTCCCCAGTCATACTGGCCTCCCCTATTTCTCCACCATCATTTCAGATCGAATCATGTGGTATACTCAAGGAATAATTGCAATCGATTGTGAAGCATCATCGCGCCTTCTCCAGCGCCTCCTTCATCGAATCTGCATTGCCTTGGCTTCTGCTTCATCCGTCGTTTTCGTCTTCAATACGCCACCAACGTCATTTTTGATTAAAATTGACATGGCCTTAGTGGCATTTTTATTCTAGGATTGTAATTTTATTATCTTCAAGCAACATCAGATTAGCAACATGTTGATTAAAACTAATGCTTTTATATATTACGTAATGCCTACCAATTCACTATACGTTTCAAATAGGATCATAATTTTACAACACTTTATGTTGTTAATATAAATTTAAAACACTAATCTAATAACAATTCTCCATTAAAGACGCTTTTAAGTTCTAAGTTCATTTTTGATAATAAAATTTGATTGCGGGCCAATCACAAGAGCTTCCATAAACCCTACAACAAGCATATGGCCTATTGTTGGGCAAAGAATACAAAAAACTCTGCTTTGCATACTAGACATTTTAGTGATTACATATTTGGTCAAGATAATCACAGTGCTTAGTACTATATTCACCGGTCCCATTTTGGGGCAACGTAGAATGCTCTCTAAAGCTTCATAATCTATCACAAGATGAAGGCACATATGCAAGGTAAGGTTCCTTTCCATAAAACTGTTTGGCTCTCTATCGTTTTTATTTTTGTTAATTTTTTTAAGCCTTACAAGTTTATATAGATTTTTATCAATTTTCCTAATAATCATTATCTTTTATGATTTTTTTTTAAATTGTTTTTTAATTTTTTTGATTTTTTTAATTTTTGCAGATTTTACTTGGCATAAAAACTTGGAATGGAGCCTGAAGAGGCAATATCCAAAGGGAAAACTCTTTTTCTACTATAGAATGTTTATATGTATCCTTTGCAGGGGCCTACGGATCTTCCGACCCTTCCCTTGCTATTAAGATATTCGTTCGACTACCTTAAAGGCTATAAAAAGCATGGCATGGCACGGTTGTTTCCAAGTCATCATCTAACACCTATAAATTATTCATGTTCCACATTTTTCTTTAATCATTAAAAAACATGTATGTTGGTTGCTAATTTTTTATTTTGAATAAAGTACGCAGCCTATAATCATAGAAAGATGCAATGTAAGTACGTTGTTGTTTTCACAATTTACCCTTTTTTACTATGATATACACCCAACCCATAGTTCAGAATAAATTCTAGAATCATGTACGTAAGATTTGCAATTGTCACCTAAAAACTAATGACTTATATGTGTTTATGGTTAAAATAAGGACAATCTTATCCCTCTCAAACTTGATGCTATGCTAAATGGAAACCATATGGATATTTCTGGAACTACTGTTGGTTTAGAAACATGTAATAGCAACGTAGTTGTACTTTTTTTACTGAAAATAGTGATGTATCGTCCATGATAGCATTGTATTTTTATTTTTTCGCACATAACATAAACTTCTAATAATTGCAACGTCTACTTCTACCTTAATACATTTTTAATCATCATACTTTCAGAACCAACCTGTAACATCCCAAGTTTTGCCATTTGTAGTCCTTGGGAACGGAAAGGTAAAGTCATGAAGAGCCTAAGGGCTAGATTGTAAACTTGGGACCAGGAGGAGTACGATGTGCGTACATAAGGGTACGCTGGACGTAATCTTGTGTACGCTGGGCGTACTCATAAAAGATGGAAAACCCTAATAATTGGAGTTGGGGGCTATATAAACATCCTTATAGTCCATTCCCTCTCATCACTCTCAGCCTCCGTCTTCCAGAAACGTCCCCAAACCCTAGTTTTGTGTGTGAGTGTGATTTAGAGTGCATTTTGAGCTCTTGAAGGTGCAGTCATTGCATCAAGGAGTTGGAGAAGAAGTTTGGCTTGTAGATCTGAAGTCATGTTGTACCCTAGAAGCTCCAGAAGGTAAAAAGCTTGGAACTTTACACTTGTATGAGATAGATCTAGTCATTTTAGCTTTATAGAAGAATTCTTGTCCCAAAAGTCCCAAAATGGTGCATGTCATGATTTGGACGAGATGAGCTGTCCTTTCAGACTCTTGGAGGGGTTTTGAGTGTTAAAAATGAGGTCCCAATGGCTTAAGTTGTCCCATGCATGTATTAGGAAGGTCTTAATGGATTAAGACCTTAGATTAAGAGCTTTCTGGACGTCCAAAGTGATAAAGTTCGAGACTTTATGAGTCCTAGGCATATTTGGTCGATGGACCTGGAGTTTGGGCTTAAGTGCTTAAGCCATTAAGCACTTATGTGGGTTTTTGTTCAGTCCGCGTACGCCCCGCGTAGGAAGCTGTACGCCCAGTGTACAGGGTCAACGACCCCGTTTTCCAGTCAACATGAGTCGAGGTACGCCCCGCGTACCAGAGGAGTACGCCCCGCGTACGTCCTCTATTGGGCTTTTGATTTTGGGCTTTGAGTTTTGGGCTGTTTATGGGCTAGCTGGACTTGGGCCTTGGCTAGACACTATGGATATGGTGTGTTGGACCAAGTCTTGGTAATGGATCTTGAATTTAGGCCCAATTAGGTAGTTGGGCCCAATTTGGAAAATTGGGCCAATGATGGGCCTTGTCATATGGACTTATGGATCATGGGTTTGGTATTGGGCCTTG